TACTCCATGGCAGCGCTGACGCGTGACCATGACTGGACTCGCGGGGATGTCGGCGTGTTCCTCGTCAATGTACGCAAGGAGGTCGGGAACAGGGAAATCCCCGCGTATTGGCGCCCGTGTAAGCAATCTATTTTTTGTCATTTCGTCCTACCCTCTAGAGTTTTGCATCGACTGACGCGAACCAAAACCCCAGCTATTTCACCACAGGACGCAAGCCTGGCAAGGATACTCGTAATCGACTCCGGCTTTCTCTGTCGGCTCGTTAAGAGGGATAGGAACCTAGAGGCTCGTAGCTAGAATAGAAATAGTACGGGCATTCGAAAGACAGACACATTGAACCTGGCAATCGCACATCAAACTTGCGTCTTTAAACCGGAATGTTTTTTTTTTCTTTTTCTTCTAACCCGCATCTAGCAACCATACGGTCTGCGGGGATCTATCAAATTCTACAGCTATAAAACCAAACATTGAGCTCTCATGTGTTGTGCCTAGACGTGTATCTGACGGACGTAACAGCACCGAGCTTGCAAACAATGTATGCTCTACGTTGAAAAAGAGACCCGTGGGCCTGGGTTTCCTAAGAGACACAAGTAGCTCACAACCATCAATACACCGCTACCCTGAACTAGGAAACAACTGGCCAAAAGTTCGGCTTCGAAGACACGTTACTGGCCGTCGTGACAACTACGAAGTATTCTGACTTTCCCATGTTGCTCTCCACGGAATTTTCCAGGGGGAAGGCGTACGTGTGTTTCATCCCCACAGCCTTCCGGGTCGAGGTCTTGCTCGGGACCGTTGCCGTCGGCGACGGGCAGCCGTTGGCGGCGTGATAAACCTCAAAACGGAGCCATAAAGCCCGGTGATACCGGCGGATAGCTCCTTGACAGCGGCAGAGTTCTTATCGAAAATCTCGACTTCAAGCTCTGTGTACCTTGTGATGATACCCGAGATGGCTTCGATATCGTCGAGAATTGTGGCAGACGATTGGATACCAACGGATGACACCTCTACAGTACGCCAGTCGTCGATGTAAGAAAGGCCGAGTCCATCAGCGGTTTACTTGGAGGAGAGGTCCGAGGCTGGTCCAGGGCGAGGAGGCATATTCAGAAGGGCGCTGCACTTGGCCTGCCCGCGCCTTGAACTTTACAAGCGAGTCGTGTATCCCACCCAGCGTATCATGTATGTCCACCTCTCCCCTCGGACGATGGCCGTACAACTTCCATCACTTCTTCTCGCAACCCAATTTCCTCTGCTGAACAGCCTGTAATCGAACAGAGTATGGACTGCTCAACGCCAGGACCCAAGCTGAGTTGCTTCCTAACACCGTCGGACAAAAGATGCGACAGCCTTGGCCCAGAGCACAGGGAGTCCGATTTCCTGCGAGTCCAGCAAGTTTTGTGTGGGTTCTGCAGAATCAGGAGAGGGCCACGCGACGACTCACTTCTGAAAGCTGCGTAATGGAACTGGGTATATCCCTAGAGTGACTGACTTGAGCAATAGGGCGGGCAAACAGACGGTTTTTCATGCCCCCCCCCCCCGCATGTTATATCAGGCAGCAACAGGGTAAGAACTTCCGTTGGAATCTTTCGAGGCTGGTTGCCGGCCAACAGCAGAGAATACAGACGCGGAAGCGAGTTATTACCGAGGCGTCTTAGCAGGCAGAAGGCTGGCCATCGCCGTCGTCAAGCTGTACAGGCAAGGAAGCCGATTTATACACTTCACCCAGAGCTGTGTGCTTTTTGTCTTGACACTATCGTGACGGAGTGCCTTTGTTTGGTCGTGGTGGACGACGCGGCACCTCTAAACTCACAAGGGGGAGAGAGCTGTTTCTATGATGCAGATTGTTTGCCTCGTCTCGTAGACTTAATCTAGCTATGGAGGACTTATGCTCGGCCAGGGGCAGCGAAACATCACCAGGAGGAGGCGGAAGACAAGCAACTTTATTCACGTTCTGCCGTTATCATGTTACTGGTTTCACCCGAGAGACGCCCAGAGGAGTGAGTACATCATATAATATATTGGACTAAGCAGTTGACAATCGTGGGCTATACCGAAATACCCCGGTGGAACGAGCGCCCGTACCAGACTCGATGACTCCGCAACTGGCGGCCTTCAGCCGAAGCTCTCTCAGCAAATGGCATGTATACGGCAGCGCTCAACGCCGAGAGACTCATCGCCCCTCCTCCGACCTGCACAACCCAAGACGGGGAATTGGCCAACTGGCGGGGGAACGTCGTGACCATACCTAGACGCAAGAGCCCGCCCCTGTTCGCCTCAGCCGGCCCACAAGACACAGAAGAGAGGCGACATGGCGCCAGAGTCCTCTTCGAAGCACAACACCCACCACGGCCCTCCCAAACCTGTCTTGCCTGCCCAGCCCCCCTAGGGCGAGACAAGATGCTACCGCAACTACGACAAGCCCCATCAGCAGCTTGAAATTCCACCAAAGGATCGCGTCCAGCCCGCGCGACCGCGACCGCTCCCGCCGTCCGCGACGCGCCCGACAACGCGATGCTCGCGACCCGGGCGCACATGCATCCGGTGAGGAAGAAACGCTCGTTGCGCCTGACGATCGCCAAAAGAGACTGTTTCCGGTTCGACGCCGCCCAAAGGCTCAAAGCCTCGAGAGCAGACTACACCATCGAAGGGGAAGGGGAAACCCTCACCCTCTGAGCCCGCCTGAAACCATGCGGCGTCATCTCGAGACCCCCCCCCTCTCAACGGTTTTCTTTGTTCAGAGACGCCACTACGCCTCCCACCCCAAATCGATAGGGAAAGGGGAGCCCCCCCCCCCCCCCCCCCTTCCAAAGCCAAGAGGGGGGAAAAAAAGGTACAAGCTTGAAAAGGAAGAAAGTATAAAAAAAGGGGGGGAGGAGAAAAATAGAGGCCCGCCGTGACGCTTATGATCTCACAAGGGCGCGAGATCAGCCACCGACCAGCAAGAAAGAGCCGGTGCGGTTCCGAACCAAGATCTCCTGCGTCTCTACACGATGTTAGCGTGTCGATACACTGAGATACGACAGGCGGCGGAGGCTGGGACCGACGCGAAATAAGGCTTCTTCTTCATCTTCCCGTCGAGTATCTTGTGTGACTGACTCGTAGACGGACCAACCTATCCCGCTAGCAAGACCGAAAAGCGCCTGCCGCGCTCCGGTCTAGAGCATGTAGACCACGACGGGATGCCTTTCCGGCTGCTGCGAAGAGGGGGGAGGGCGGAGGTATGAGGAATCAGCTAGAGCGACGCTCCGAGGGCACCTCCTTCCTCGCGGCGTGTCGCCCTCCAACGCCGGACCCGATGGCCCAGACGGACTAAGGCGGGGGGGGGGGGGGTGCCCTCCTTGCCCTACAACAGATCCGGACGAGTCGAGGTTCTCTTCAAAGCGGACAAATCATCGCTAAGCCGCTTGGCAGGCGCCGGCTCCCGGGGAATTCGCACTCGAGCATCCCCTCGATGGCGTGGGGTAGTAGAGGCATCGCGATAGTCCGAATCACCACATCATGCTGGGTCCTGTGCATCGCCGCCGTCCATGGCCCCAATCTGCAATGCGACATCGCGTTGGGGTCCGAGTCACCATGGACCGACTGATTGCAACGCCAACTTCGTAAGAAGTGCATTAGGCCTCGCGAACAGACGCAGCAGCAGTTAAACCGCGCAATGCCACGGTCGGTCACCCTAGCTTGTCAGTGTCGTCCCATCGCTGTTGCGGTAAATGACACGGACGTTCGTCGAATCACTCAGGCTCGGCAGCCGTCCAGACATAGGTAGCTGGCCTCGGCTTTGTTATCTGTCATCCTATGGCTCATTCTCGCCCCGTTCTCGAGAGACTGACGGACAGACAGACAGACAGACAAGCAGGTCATAGCTGCTGCGAGACATTTAATTCTAGGTGGAAAAAGCAATGATTGTGGAAAACCCTCTCCCACTGGTGGCATGGACCCCCTTCCCGCCTGCCACCTGCTCCCCGAGAGAGGCAGGAAGCGGCCCAGGAAGGCGCTGATGGTTGGTTGTTTCCCTCAGGGCGGCACGACGCGGAGGGACGGACGGCTGGCCGGTGGTGGTGGCGTGGCGTGGCATGGCGCGGCGTGGCGCGGTAGACGTTTTGTTTAGCTTTTGCAGAAGCAATATTTGCTACCACTAGGCATGCCGAAAAGAGCGGTTTCGAATACGCGATGCCATCCCAAGGGCCCGGCGCTCTCTGCTCATGCGAGTGTGCCGGCGTTCCGTGCATGTGAACCCCTACGTCAGACCAACTGGTAGGCGAGCAAGTCCGGGCGGGAGGCAAACCGACTCCATGTGCAGCCTCACTGGTCAGGATCGGCGGGATCAGTAGGCGGGCCGGCGGTGAGCGCCGGTTCGATAATAGACGTAACCGATGATGCTCTCTCTCTTGCCCTTCTCTTCTGTCCATCTTCTCCATCTGGCAGGTGGATCGGTAGCGTTGCGATGCCGGCGTTATCTCTCTTCCGCATGAAGGAGACCTCCATCCCAACATGGCAGAGCCCCATCCGGATCTTCAACTAGACACCGAAGATCCCAATTTTGACCCAGGAACATGCCATTCATTGCAGGGCACCACCCAGCCAGCAGCCCAACTAGGTAACCACCTGTGTACACTGACTGTCACCGCCCCTCCCAGTGTTAGTTAGGCACGCAGAACAATCAACGTGGTCGGGTTCATTGGTCCATGGAGCCGTCTTTCCGAGGTATACGCAGTGTAGCACTCTCGGGGAATAAGTCATGAAGCAGTTTATCGTTGCTGGGTCCGAACGGGGGCTCTAGTGGGGTAACCTGGCGATGGAGCATCTGCCTCGAGTACGGATAGTGCTGAACTACCTATGTACGGATAGGTAGCGCCGTACCCCGCCCGCTCACAGTACATGGTGTAACCAGCACGTTGCTGTGCCTGATTCTCTTGGTCATCCTTACCAAGGCCACGATCGTCACCAGCTTGTGGCGACCATACGCATCAAGCGGGGCGGGGAGGAAACGTCCTTCTGCTTTAGCCACTCAGACCGGTGGGAGAGCCATGTCTGCCCGAGTCCTGCGACCTGTATCTCGTAGTTAGCTGGTACTGCTAGGTATGCGTATGCAACCCACAGTTCGTACAAGCCCGCCCTAAGCCCCGGCCAGAGACACCCGACAAACCCCCGGACGCCCGGAGAGGCAGCCGGTTTGCTAGAAAAGGCGTTGTGGGAGAAGAAGGACATGGGGGAAGGAACAGTTTGCTTGGACGCAAGCTCTGCTGCTGCCGCTGCTTTGCGCTTGAGCCTTGACTTGACCTGTCACTTTCTCGGTTTCTGCGAATCTGTTGACAAGCAGCATTTCAGAGGTCGAGAGGGGAATCCACCCATCCACACTGTCGAGATTCAGAAACATGCCGTTTTCTTTTGTCAACCGCATAGGCTACATTTGTGGTTGGTGATGGTGGTGGTGGGCGTGGTTACCTTGCACCTGCATGAGTGCACAATCGCTTCCACCACATGTTTGTCAACGCTGTTTTCGCAACCTTGTGGGCCTAGCCGGCCCTCCAGAAACATATCCACTGTGTTTCCTGCACCGTGATACTGCGCATGATGCATTTGTGGTTGAATTTTGGTCCCCCCCCCCCACCACCTCCCAACTCGACGTACCAGACTGCATGTTTCAGGCAACCCATCTCGCCGCAGATTAACGGCACACAGTCAGGCTGTTTTCGAAGTCGTGGCCGGATTAGGTATGCTCTCTCTCTCTCTCTCTCCCTTCTCCAAAAAAGCGTCGGTTTTCGGTGCGCCCGCTAGGCGAATATTGGCGATATTGAACGTTTTCTCTCCAACCTCTTGTCATCCAGGGCGGCTGGTTCCCCAGTCTAATGGCACCCGCATGAGCTATTGCCAACAGGTTCCCCTCGAAATATTGTCTGCATGGCGCTGTCCATTCAGGTGGGCGTGTTGACGTATTGATTGTCCGTCGTCTTCCCGTATCCCATTCCTACAAACCCGAGTCAAATGATGACCTCTTCACGGCGGTACCAAGCTTGGGATCTATTGACCAGTAACCGCGCGAGGGGGCGTCACTAGTTTAGTTGGACAACCGAATGCGCTAGCATTGACCGAGACCCCGCCAGTTGCTTTCGCCTCGACACACGTATGGGGTTCTTACCTGGATGCGACGAGATAGTCGGACGATCCTGGTACCATCAACCGCTCCGATGACAAAGGATGAGTTGGGATCTGTGACGCTCCAATTTCCCGTTCCCCACGGCAATCACTTCTTTCTAGAAGGGTTGAGGAACGCCGGCAGTGGGAAATGAAATTATCTCCCGTTCGTGGACATCACGGACGATGGGAACCTTTCTGGGCTGGCTCAAACATTGGAGCCTATCATGCTTGGCTACCACTAGCTGGCGAGCCATCTGCGGGACGGACGGGAGGCCTGTCAGGGCCCATACTGCCTGCTTGGTGTGTACCCCCCCCCGTTGCTTCTATCTTGACCGTCGTGAATGGGTCTTGCCGATGGCGAGTTCCGGCTTGTCAGATTCATGGACATCTCAAATCATCGACGAAGCAACGTGCCACTCACAGCTCCACCGCACTGAGTTACACTATGACAGGAGCGAATGATGGAGTTGACGAAGTAGGGGGGGTGGGGGGGAAGAGAGAGAAAAATAAATAAATGACGAAACCATCTAGTAGAGGTTTTCCTTGTCGAGATCAAGACGTTGGTTTGGGGAATGGCCCGATGGACAGAAACGCAAGTTTGTGCCGGGCGATGGCTGGTGTTCCGACTGTCGAGATGCATCCGTGTGACCCCGTTGATGTTCCCTTGAAACGTCCTCGAACACGCTGGCGTCGAGAGGATTTCGGCTTTACTGCCGCTTCCTGTCGATTATCATATAGGCCTGCCAGACGATATGACCCAGTGCCTTCGCCTTTGGGATATTCTGACACTCGAGTGACGGATCCATTCCTTCTAGAACAATGGAAGGATCCATGGCCAGCCAGCCATTGCTCTATCCCGTGCTGGGATGCCTCCCCCTCGCTCTGCGTCATCTCCATCACGTTTCCCGTTGTTTGGAAAAGTCCACGCAAGGCAGATGTGTCATGATAGTTAGCACCTGATGCCCGAAACAAGAAGTCGCCCATACCCAAGCCTATGCTGGCTGCTTTGTGACGGAGCCCAGGCGTCGGAGAGCTTGCAGGCTCTGAAACCTTCTGGAAGGCCGGTCCCACGAGCTCACGGCCGCGGGAATGCCCATTGGCCGCTGCGGAGGAAGTCCTTGCTCTAACCGGTATGGCGAGGTAACCCTGGTAAGGCATGTGGGACCCCCCCCCACCGAGAAGCCTCGGAACGATAGCTACCAATATTGACCGACTTCTCATAAGCGTGTGGGTTCTTCACCATCTAGCGAGGGTATTAGCCGAGCCGATAGTTCATTCCGCTCTGTAACGCCATGTACCCACGGTGGGATAGAAGAGGACAGCGGAACGGAACGGATAGAGATAGACGAGGCATTTCTCTGGGTATTGTTCGCTCGGCCCGGGGTCTTCGTGGTCCAGCTCGAAGTGTATGTACATTGTATTTCGGTAAGAAAGAGTCGCCTGACAAGGTCCCGAGTTATCGAGCGTCGGGGTTCCCCGAACGCAAGAGCTGCCCCAACCTAGCCCGCCGCCTAAAAGACGTTGGCAATGCTTAATGTTTGCTTTTCATGCTTCGCTGACCGTCGACAGGCTAAGCACTAAACACCAGACAAACGTTGTACAAGTATATGGCAAATCCTTGGGCTTCAATTGACACTCCGGATGATTTCCACGCCAAGTGAAATGCAACGGCTCATCCGTGACCGGACCACTAGCCCCACAGAAGCTGTCTTGTGTGCCGTCCTCTCAAGACTGGTTGGCGATAGCGGGAAATCAGTTCGACTATACGGAGTATTGGGCCGAGGATGATCGGACCAGGCTAAATGGCGGCCCCAGGCTCCATCCAGAGTACCTCGGGCCCGTTAAAGGTTCCTTTGATGATCCCAGACTCATGCCCAGTTACGGCGAGGACCCTTGTGGCAGAGGCAAGCGATGGATGGTAATTTGTGGCAGCCCTTTGCTGGATTTGCCAGAAAGAAATCCGGGGCAGCAGCGACGGAGCTTCACCCGTTTTCGGTCCTGGTCGCCGTCGCACAGTCAAGGGGGGGCTTACTGGCTGGGCCGGGACCCCACGGCTTCCTACCCGGGCCGTCCAGCGTACCATAGCCGCTAACCAGGTTCCCAAGTCATCGGAGGCGAGTTGGAGTCTTGGAGAAGGGGACTTCGCAGAGGAACGAGAGGGCTCTCAGGTATCCGTACAATTGGGGAACTTCATGAGCATCAAACACCAGATCGCTAGGGCCTCCTTGGTAAGCCAGCGGGTCGAGCTCCCGAGCTTCCCTTCTTAAACGTCGATATTGCGCCATCCGCGCGGCTTTTAATAGCTCTTTGTGGGGGGGGATTGAGGATAACGACGGCGGTCGGAGGCTCCTACCTAGTGATGATAGTAGTCGGCTGGCGATATGCTATATACTAAGTGGTCGTTAACTGCCCCCCTTCACGATATGGATTGACGTGTCGACGACGCCCATCAAGGCAAGTATCGGCCAGGACGCCCACAGCCCTGCTCTCAACCTGGGGGGAAAACTGCTCGAGACATTCGTACACTATTTGTAGCTTCATGTGTCCGTACGTGGAAGAGTCTGAACATGCACCCACTCAACAGGTCGGGGGTCGTCGCAAGAACCCGTGCTGTTTTGGGCTTAAGGCGTTCCGGTGTATTGGATCATGTCACCTGTTTACTGGTCCGAATTCGTCAGCCAGGAACGGCACAACCACTCCAACGGTGACGATAGGTATCACGAGCCAGGCACTTGGCTCTTCTTTGCGGCTTCCGCCGAGAGGCCGTGTAGTAGTGTACATGAGCAGCCAGCACCTGGTCGGCCAGCCTGGGACCCCGGCCGCATGACAGGCCCGGCCTGCTCTGCTGGTCTGGTCCTGAAAAGGTCGACCAGCATGTGGTAAGACCCCCGACCCCGTCGCTTTTAGTCAAACTCAAGACCATAAAGGTCATTAGCGGGGCAATCGTTCTCCATGCCATCCCATGTCGGCTGCATAAGCTGTGTTCCTATTCGGCTGGCAAGCCCACAACCCACACGCCACTTTTCTTGGTTAGGCTTTAGGAAGTCCCCAAGCTTTGAGTTGCCGGTTCCGCGAAGCCTAGGATGATATAGCGAGTCTCCACCAACGTCCATGGTTCGAACGAGGATACCTTGTTCTCGTGGTGTATGTACATACTATACAGTATACTCCGTACATGTTGCGAGGCATTTTGGACCATCGGCGGCGATGCTCATCATTCGATGGCTGGGAACTGGGAACATTTTGGCATGGTCGTTTGGTCCAGCTAGCTAAGCTGCAAGAAGCATGCAGTGCGCGATATTTCTTAACTTAAAGCCGCCAGTATCCCGTCCAGAGGAAGAGCTGCTGAAGTTGGCCGAATGCGAAAAGCGTGTGCTGCATTAGAGACGGAGGAAGAAGAGGAAGCCTTGGCGAAGTGCGGAATATCTACGGATAGCGTACCTGCATACGGTTGCAACCGTTTGTCTGTTCCTGCATGGGCTACTTTTTGGAAACGCGACGTACGTGTACAGTATCTCGATGCTGCAGTCGGTATGCAAGGTACATCGAGCTGTGGGTGCTCAACTCCGGGACCGCGAGTAGTGTACTTCCCACTATCCGTACTCCGTACATTACAGTCCGTATCGTGACGCCGACTGCACTACAGTACCCCGAGCCCGGAGTGGGCCCAGGACGAGAGGCACCGGTTGAGTGGAAGTCCCTGGCACGGATGCATGGTCGCATGAACAGAGGCAAATTGGCGATTGGACAATCTTCAGGGATTCGACTGGCCATGGGATCCCAGCCCGAACTGAACGGAGCTCTCCCAGCCCTCCGAGAACCACGATCAGCGTCAGCGAGACGGATCATGATAAGCTGCCCTATTGGGAAGCCTATGGCCGGTAATGCATACGAGTTGTGCAACATAATGCTCAGCATAGCCCGCTCTCACGCCGACACGCAGCGGAAGAGCTACTGAGAATGTGCAATGTCTCCACTGTCAGAATGACTTGAGCCTAATGTATGGCTGCATGGAAATCAAGCCGGGCTATCCACTGCCACAACGACAGCATGCTAAGGCCAGACAGACTCAAGTCGACTCGAGTCCTTCCGCGGGTTCGAGCCAGGCTGTACACGCTTTGTGCTGTTTCGGCGGCGCAGCTGTTTGACCCAGTGTACGTGCGTCTTTCGCCCATCCTTCAGTCGGTTCTAACTGGACGAGATAAACAGAGAGGCTAATGCACAACCGATGCCGAAAGTCCATTGGTGCAGTTTATGCAGGCCGCCAACGTCTCAGCTAGAGGGCCGGAAGCTGAGCAAGACATTTGTGAGCGATGCTCTGTGCTGTCGAGCGATTGTGAACGGTGTCGTAGTGAAGGGGCCTGGCTAGAGCAGTGCAGCCAAGCACAAAAAGTTTGTCGTAAAGAGCGTTGGTTCCGAAGTTTGGTGTCCTAGTCGATGGGGTGGAAAGCGGTTTGAGGCTTGAGATGAATACTTGCGAGTAGTGTCGCGACGGAAGTCCCAACTGAAGCCCGCACCACACCTTGCCCTTTCCAGTCAATGGGATGATTGCAAGCTTGAAAAAGCCAACCAAATGCCTTGCCAGTCCTGGCTGGATCGTCTGGAATTGTGAACAAAGAAACGCGGGTACCTTGCAGACGGCTCAACAGATCCTAGGTAGTGACACAGAACTGGACCGTTGTGAAAGAAAAGCCTACTCGATGGGACAGCCGTTGCGACCAACACTGCGTTTCATCTACTGAGCAGGACCTGAAGCGGCGCAGCGCCTCCCCCCCCCCCCCCCAAGTAGCCGATCACTTCTGATTCCAACGGATACGAGTTAACTAAACCGAGAAAGTTTGCTCCCCTCATGCTGGGATATTATGTTGGTTCTTGCGTTGGCTCGTTGGCTGTTGGTCCGTTGTCGTGGGCGTGGGCGTTGGCATTGGCGCTGATGCTGGAATGGGCGCTGCCGGCCATCAGCTCCCCGATTGAGTTCCTTAAAGGCTGTTGGATCGCGAGCCGGGGTGACATTATCCTGGTCAGTGGAGAACCAACGACCTGTCGCTGGTGCGTAGAGTTTGCGTAATCACCGATTAAGCCGGTGAACGGGCGATGGATGATGGTTCAGACGCAAGTCGCGCCCTCGCCGGTTGCCTCTAGCATCCCGTATTGTAGGGGCCAGACCGATGGGATCTGTGATTCAGCAAAACTGGCGTGGAGTTGATCCGAACCCCGTGGGTTCGGAAGTGTAAGATAAAGTGTGGCATATCCATAAGGGAGCAGCGATCAAGGGTCGTTAGGTAGTGATGAGAGAGTTCAAAGACTGGACTGAGCTCAGTACGTGGCCCAAGCACTGTTCAGGTATGGCTGGATAGCCTGAGTAGCGTAATCGTGTTCTCGGGGTGCTGTCCCTGTGAGCATCAGCTTGATGAGGGTTGATGTTGGCGCGGCCCTGACAGTTGAGCGACACTCGCCGAGTCACGTAGCAAAATGCCAAGGGTAGTTGAGTATCGATAAGGTGTGGTATTCCCGTTCAGACCAGCCCAACCAGGATGTGCGGGTAACAGTTGACGGAGGGCTTCTAGGATGCCTGGCCGTCTGGCCGTTTAGGCGACTGTGTGTGTGTGTGTGTGTGTGTGTGTGTGTGTGAGAGAGAGAGAGAGAGAGAGAGAGAGAGAGAGAGAGAGAGAGAGAGAGAGAGAGAGAGAGAGAGAGAGAGAGAGAGTGCGGTGACGATGAAGCGGGGTGCTGCAAGGGAGCGAAAGGGAAAATGAGGGGTAAAAGTGCAGACGCCGGGCACCTGACAGTGTTCCTTGCATTGCGTTTCCTGTAAGGTACGGCAGGGAGAAGGGAAAAGGCTAGGAAGAATTTTCTCGGTGAAAATATGGAAGCGGCGACGATAAAGATGGTCAAAGTCGAGTCACCGGGTCCATGGGACAGAAAACCGAGAAGAGGGGCATGGGTGTGTTCCAAGCAGGCCCTGGAACATATCACCGTACATGTAAGATGGTGCGTCATGCTTGGAGCGAAGTGTAAGTGTCTTATGCAGAAACAAGCCGCGTACATGCCGTACGTAAGGCAAGGCGGATGCAGTTCATGCGTCCGTCTGGTCCGAACCATGTTCGTTCAATGTACGAGCAGGAAGTGATGAGATGAATGGCGCCAGATGGGCTGCATAGAGGACATCGACATGCTGTTTCCCAAGTACGGATATAAACTAGGTCGTCAATATTCCGTCCTTGAGCGGAGTACGCCAAGGATGGAAAGTCACCTCGGGAGTTGCTCAACGAGTGTCCCCCACTTGATGGCATCACCACCCGCAGCAAATGCGGATTCGGGAGGCTCGACCAAGAAAAAGGAAGGGAAGGCCCTTGGAATAGCGTTACGAAACGATAGATGGGCCGCACCACCAAGAGGATCGGACAGGAAAGCAGCTGCTTGCTGCATTCACGACGCCACCTACAGGCTACAGCACGACAGTCCACACGAGTTTTCTTTTTGCCGCGAGGAATCAATTCAGCGGCAGGCATGACGCCGCGGCAGTAGGTAGGACCAAGCAACGACCCTCCTCCACATCCCGGTGCGGCACCCGTCGTCCCTTTCTTACCATCCCCGCACCCAACATCGCATCACCCTCCCAAAACGGAGACAGAGAGAGAGAGAGAGAGAGAGAGTCATGGGCAAGATTACGCAACAAGCAAGACCTGCCATCAAAGGCAAGAGGAAGCAGAAGTCGATGGATACGTTCGTGCCTGCCTTTTCCCGTCAAGCCGCTCCTTCCTATCTTGATCGAGCTGCACCTGCACCTGCCTTGCCTGCAGGTACACTGCCTACCTAGCCTGGCTACCTAGGTACCTTACTAGGTACCTACATCTGCATCGCACCTGCATCTGCACCTGCATGTGCAGGCACACTACGTAGTATACATCTTTGGCCACCTGCCTGGAGCCCACAGAGTCAGTCGGTGAGTCGAAGGCAAACACATGCTGCACCTTGGGGGTGGGGATCCAGTAGCAGCAGATCCAGATGCTCCCCCGAGTTGACTTAGACGCAACCAACGACTTCCTTCTTATCCGAAGAGGCATGCTGCCCGTTCGTCCCATCCGTACCACTAGGTACTTGCAGAGCCAATCAACCAACGGTTCCTCACATTGATTGCACTACCGGTCTACCCGGCCGCCCCAACTCAACTTTGGAAGAAGCCTTCATCCCTCGTCACTCCCTCCGTACTCTGTTTACGGCGCGCACGGCGAGTCTTGGCTCGCCTTGCCTTGAATGCCCGTTGCATGGACCTCTTCGCGGTGGCGACGAAATCGTCCGTCTCTTCCCAATCTAACCTCACTTTGTGCTGTCGCTGGTTGCCCACGGCCAATACGGGATTGAATGGCTTGGACCTCAGATCGGATGTCACTTTTCCACCCGCCGCCCGTGCCAGTGTCAATATCGGCTTCAATATCGCTGGCTTCGTTGGTCTGCTTCACCATCATTTCGATGCTCGCCTTACTCCCGCCATGATCTTCAGCCGCGGGCCGCGGGCCACTTACCAGGCTTGCTTAGTTCCGACCATCCCTTCCCTGGACGCCTGCCTTCTCCATAGTGTACAATGTCAATGCGCCGGCATCCCGAGTGGCTCCCGCCAACGCGACCACGGTCCCAGTGGTGTCAAGGTTCATGCCTGGTTGTCACCAAGCCCTTGGACCAACCGGGACGTCCAGTCGAGATTCCTGTCACCAGATCTATCAGGAGCACTCGACTCGACTCGCGCAGGGTGGGGCGAGGCAACGCCCGGGTGACGATGTCAGCAATTCAGCGCTCCTTCGCCCCGGCTCGACTCGGCATACAGAAGCGTGAAAGAACGGAGAAGGACCCGGGCCCGTCAGTATGTCCCGCCAAAGCCAGTGTGATATCAAGACCAGATAGAAGCGCGCGCCCCCTCCTCCTTACAAAAAAAAAAGAGTGCTAGTTAGTGGCGGCTGCGTCATCGCGGGCCAACACGATGCCATGGACAACACCCAAAAAGCCCAAAGCGCGACGCGGGGTCGTTGACTGGCGACAGAGAGCGTGTGATAGACCGTTGAGCTGACCACTGAGATGCCGAGTCGCCCTCGATGAACGCTAAGTGGTGCAATGGCACCTCTCTGCCAGAGGTTGTCGTTGCCCCATGATGCTTGTAGGAGCGGGGTCACACCAAAGATGCGCCCCATCCTTTGTGTGTTTCGTGTTCCTGCACAACTACCCTACCCACCGGACAGTGAGGGCTTGCAAAGCTGGATCACCGAGGCCTCGTTGGCGCCCTGGATACGACACCAGTCTGCATGAACATTATTCGAGCATGCTCACATGTTCGCCGCTTCCAAGGAATTAGGTTGTGCTATGGACGGGGGACACAAGTGGCTCGTATACTATACAGCCCCTCGCATGCCATTGGCGTCGGCTCTTACCCGAGGAATCCAAGGGTCTGCGGAAGAAACGGTGGCCTCCGAGGGAAGAGACACGGCGCATAACGGGGACCAGTGGGTGGGCGTGCAGCCTCCGCCAGGGCCCTCTTGACAATTTATCCAACACTCGGACGAACAACTATTTCTGAGAGTTTCGGGCTATTATTATTAGAAGGCCGATTTTGCTATATCGCACCCATTATGTGCCTGACGACATTAGACGGACGAGCCACACACGGCTTCTCCAGAGCTCGGGAGTGTCAGAATCCACTGTTTCCTCGATTTGATGGGAATCGACAAGCTCCGTCCGTCCCTGCGGCTCTGGCATGAAGACGACCCGCCGCCAAACCTGGCCACCAATATCAATGCTGATCGGGCAGCCCATCAACTGCCGCGATGCTTCGCGTTTGGAGCCCTTCGGGCCTGTTCTGCTCGTTTGACTGAGGAATCAAACAAGCACGGCCCAGCTCAGCCGCTCCGAAGCATTACTATGGGTTACAAATGCGCCCACGAGGGCGCAACTTGCTGTGGCTCCGGAGTCACCGTGGCCAAGGAGACGAGCGGCAGGCAGTTGGCGGCTCGCTCTCAACGCAGACAGGCCAACCCTTTCTTCGGCTGCCGCCGATAATGTGCGTCGCTGACACAGTCACAGTGACTGTTGCCGCTGCTGCAACTACAACTCAGCCCAAGTGATCATCAACTGGCGGCGCAACGCCATCTGGTATTCGCTGGTTTGGTGCCTTGCATCCGCGCCGCCGCGACCAAGGTTTGCTGGTGTGCGAGCACAACGAGCGATACGACTGGCGGCGGCATAAGTGCGTGTGTCTGCATGTGTGACTGTCGACACAGGGCCGGTCCAGCGAATGACGGTGTCCAAAGAATGTGGTCGGACGCGCGCCAGGCTGGGCTGAGATGGCGAGTGCCAATCGAGGCAGCCATTTGTGCTAGTTGTGGACGACAGCTTTTCTTATCGACGTACACTATATCCACTTATGCATCAATGTCCCGGCCTATCAGCAGCTGAGGGCCTCGGGTTAATGCAGCTGCTCTGAGTTACCTTTGAAGCATTCGCTGCTCACTGATCTACAAAGGCCTATCGGACAGGTCTCATGTCGTTGGTGTCGGAATCACAGAGACAGAAACAGAGCTCCGTTGTACTTGGGCTGGATTAGTACCTACCTAGACCATGTATTCATCATTGATTTCTCTCTTTGGACGACCAGACTTTGGTATAGTGCCACCACTACTCCGTACTTAGCATGCATATATTAATTGCGAGGAAAAAGTCATCAGCACTACGTACCACAATAGCCGATGATGTGCAATAGTAATGTGAATGGCGCCGCTCCGTGCTCAGGTCCGAGCAGTGACGCGACGCCCGTTCATGGCCGCCGTCAACGCCATCTGCTTGCATTGGCTCCGTTGCCGTGGGTGCTTGAAAGGCAGACACTGGCCACAGTACCGTGACACACCAGCGTCTGCTAAGGGTTCGACAATTTTCTTCCTGGAGAAGACACGGCTGGCTCCATCTAAAACGCGATGGTCTCGCGGTGTCGAGACTGGCGCAGTCATGCAGGGTGTCGTGTATGTGCGTCTGTTGGTCTGTCGGTTTGCCAGGCATTCGGGCAGCCCAGCCAGTTACGTAGCTGGTCAATACCGTCGTAGACTGCACGCCAGACAAGTTCCTGGGGGCTTGGGAAGGCCTCCAACCCTGCGGCGTAAAGCAGATGATGGCCTTTTGGGCAACGTCGGTGGACGAGGGCAAAGGAGTAAGTAAGTAAGTACATTGGCACCCACAGAGACCGGCGGGCTGTCGTGTACTCTTCGGACTGTGGTACATCGGGGCTTGGTGCCGTCTCTCGTCTGTTTTCCGTTTTGCCGCCCTCTTCTGAGAGCATGAGGAGGAGGGAACGGTACCGTACACCTACCCACCGTATCCTCTGGCCCGTACCTGCGTTTTGCCCGTCCAGATTTAGAACAGACCTGCTGGCTGCGCCTTCCTCTCTTCCCAGCCCACCCACACCCACGCACCACCACATACGTATTCACATACCTTACCACTCAACGTTCGGTACGGTGGGCAACTTCAGCCATCCTCGTGTTGTTTCCGCTTGTCCTCAGAGCCAGAGGAGCCGAGCCGAGCAGAAACAGAATCAGCGCAGAGACAGGCGTGCAGAGGCATCTCCGTAGCTCCTGAGCTCCGCCCAGTAGCAGGGATCGGAACTTCGCACCGTTTCGTCTCGTCTGCCCTGCTGTTCCTGGTCCGTCGCCGCCGTTGTCGCTGTGCCCATCCCATCCCATCCGTCCGTATTCCAGCGCGTGTGTGTGTGTGTGTGTGTGTGTGTGTGTGTGTGTGTATGGATGTCCCACTCACACTTCCATCCTCTCCGAACCCACCCGCCAGGAACAGAACACCATCCCAGCGACCAGAGAAGGATAGGTACGTACCTACCGACGAGGGACGCGGTACGTACCGTTCAGCTACCCTAGTCGACCATGTACCCAAGTACCGCGATCCACAGATACGTACTTCTCTACCCCCTGGCCCCGGTCGACTTGTGTGGGTGAGACATGTCTGCGTGGAGAGGGAAGAGAAGAGAGGGGACGAGGACGAGGGACGAGGGTCCGTCTCCCAAGGTGCGCTAGGGTCTGGTGTGGTGTGGTCTGGGTCGGGTCTGCCACTTTGGCGTGGTACCCAGTGTCACGTACCATGGGGGGGCCCTATCGACAACTTTTACCTTGGGCTGGTCGGTTGATCTTGGATTCTTTTCTCTACTTATCCCCCTTCACCACCCACATTCATTTCGCTCTCGCTATTTCATGATCGACATCTTCTGTGCGCTGTGATCTTTTCTTCTTATGACCACTCGGTTCTTCCTTCTTTTGTGACTCGACCTTTGGGAAACAATTCGACCTGCTCGAACCATCCCGTCCTTCCTTTAAAAACAACCATATCCAACCACCGTCTCGAGCCCGTAATTCAAACACCAAGCCGGTTCTTCTACCACATCTTCATACAATCTCGACGCCAGCTGTTAAGATATAGAAGAACACTCGGGACGAGTTCCATGTACAACTAAAACAACCCACACTCTCACTCATCGAGTCACTCAACATACACAGACTGCCATTGTCCATCAACGGCCTGTCGTCCTATCCTTCACATCCAGGAAAACCGAAACCCACCGTCATTAGGCCAACCGCCCACGATCCAGTTCGAAAGAACTTTACACACAAAGTGTACAACAATAAACGCAACACCACCATCCTACAACTAATCAATAAGGGACGGACTCGAACAATCCGCCGACTAACAGCACAGCTCAACACGACAACCTTGTCTGGTGCGTTTCTGATGAAGCCACAACCTACAACCGGGAGAGCAAAGGAACTGATCAAGGGAACAGACGTATCACAATGGACGCAACCATGATGACGGCGCAGGCAATGGGGCAAGCTCCCTTCCTCTACTACCGCCCCGAACAAAAGCCCGATACCTCGAGGCACCGCGGTCACTTCTCCCAGCAGCCCAACATGCACCAGCACATGGCCATGTACCCCATGGTCCCGACTCTGCCTTCCACACCCATCTACTCGCGGCCCAACTCGTCCTGCTCTCAGCCCATGGGCCCCACGCTGTACAGCAACGGACCAGCACCCACAAGCATGACGCCGATGGCCTCGCCCCAGCCCATGACCCAGAAGCCTGCGATCATGCTCGAGACGGAGATGTGTGACGACAACCTCTACTTCCCCTCAACACCGCCCTTGTCGGCCTGCGGCAGCGCCATCAGCAGTCCCAACAACAGCTGCGAAATCATCCACACGCCGATGAACCCCATGTTCTCCGGGTTGGACGGCTTTGACGGCTTTGACGGTCTTGACGGATTCAAGGAGACGCTGGAGGTCCCCGAGAATCTCGCCATTGACTGGAACAGCTGCGGATCGCCCCCCATGACACCTGGTAAGTCGCAAGCAAATCGAAACGTGTGATTTTCCATCCGTGCAGAAACGCATCTGTCTCCAAGATCTGGAAAAAAAAAAAGCCCGAATCATGCGCTGCCGCGTGCTGCAAAGGTTGGGCCGGTCTTGGAACCCATGCCCAGTGGGTGGTGGTTGCAAGGAAAGCGTGGCGGGGCAGTTATTGGGAACTGTTTTTTTTTTAATAACGAGACGCTAACTCAATTTGGCAGTTTACCTCCAAAACCAAGCAACCAAGGTCCCCTCGCTTAGCACCAACACTAGCGACCTGCTTTCCACTGCATCTTGCCCTTCGCTTTCTCCCTCACCCTCGCCGTACGCCAGGTCGGTCGCCTCGGAACAGGATCTTGACTTTTGCGACCCGCGCAACCTGACCGTCGCTGCTGCACCCAACACGTCCAACACGACCCTGGCCCCCGAGTTCTCAGCCTTCACCCTCGGTGACGAGCTCAGGGGTGAAGTCTCTGTCAAGGCTCCTACGTCGGCCCCCTCAAACCAGAACTTTGACTTCAACCCTGCCATTCCTCACGGGCTTCCCGCTTTTGAGGATTTGTCTGACTTGGAGTCCGAGGACGATTTCGTCAACGGCCTGGTCAACCTCGGTGACGCCAACTCTGCCGAGGTGGGCCGCCCCCGTGCCTGCACCGGCTCTAGCGTCGTCTCGCTCGGCCACGCGAGCTTCATCGGTGAGGAGTTCAACTTCGACGAGGCTGAGATTTCCACGCCGGCTTGCTTGCCCAGCCCCTCATCCACCTGCACCGACAACGACTGCCATCAGAACAAGCGTCGTAAGGTGGTTAAGCAGGAGACCCGCAACTCCACGCCCAGCATGAACTCCACCGCCGGGTCTTCCCAGGCTACCAGTAGCGAGCAGCGATCCAATAGCCAAGCTCCTGCCTCTGAGGCCAACAGCTCGTCCGACTCCGAGACCCCGTCTGCCCCCCATCCCGCTCCCGTCAACCGCCGCGGACGCAAGCAGTCCCTCACCGAGGACCCTTCCAAGACGTTTGTGTGCGAGCTCTGCAACCGCCGTTTCCGCCGCCAGGAGCACCTCAAGCGTCACTACCGCTCGCTCCACACCGGCGAGAAGCCCTTCGAGTGCCATGAGTGCGGTAAGAAGTTCTCCCGCAGCGACAACCTGTCCCAGCACGCTAGAACCCATGGCAGTGGTGCCATCGTCATGGAGCTCGACGAATCGGGTGTCCACTCGTTTGACCACAACATGATGGGCCACCCCGAGGACTACCACACGCTTGGCAAGGTCCTCTTCCAGTGTGCTGCCGAGATTCCCGGAAGCGCCAGCGAGCTCTCGTCGGAAGAAGAAAACAAGAAGAAGCGCAAGCGCTCCGACTAAACGGTCCGGGTGGCTTTGTTTTTTTCGCATTCAATTTCACAATCGATAGCGATTAGTCGTCGCTTCGATCACGCCCGACACGACTTTGATGACGACAACTTCTTTTTTTTTCTTTTTCTTTTTCTCCGGGCTTACCCGCCAAGCGCTTGCGCGGGTCGGTCAACAGGGTCATACGGGGGGAGGGCCTTCCAAAGCAGGGGGGGAGCTACCATCCACCAACATGGGGGGATAGAACCACCTCAGGGAGGAACCACATGCGAAAAGTGCAAGCGAGTTTGGTCATTTTTACTCGT